TTGACCTCTGATTACTGCTTTGGCTGTTTCCCAGAGGTTTTGGCAGCAAATAATTTCAAATCAAAATAACTTAGCATATCAATTTATAAAATGTATATGTGAATCAAGTCTTCTTGATTGGTTATTGTCTTCTCAAGTCAACTCTTCCAAGGTTTGATTCTTCAAAGGCCCATGTACAGTATTGAAACAGTTCCTTTCATTGCTGATTTGACACTCCTTTCTGACTTGGTCAGAAACTTTTCTGACTCTTTATAACTAAACTTGAGAATAATATCTGCGTCAAAAATCTTGCACTTCTTCATACATGGCTCTGTGGCTGTCATTTGCTCCAAGGAACTTCTTCTTACATTTTTCTTCATTGAGTATAGAGAGATGTTTAAATAGACTACTATAACACAGTGCAGGATTTGGTAATCCAATGATCTCTTAAGTCATCAGAGTGTTAGTAATTGGCCCTTTTGAAACCTTTGCCAAAACATCGGCCAAATTTTTTTCTTACTCCCACTTGATAACCACACACTTTGAGTATTCAGTTTCTGAAAAATGATTGAGCTTGAGTTTTAAAGGTATGCCTTTGTATATTTTGTGGGGTAATACTTGCCATGTTTGGAAATAAGGTGCCATGGATTTGACAATGACTCATAGCAACCCTATGAACAACAGTTCTAAACCTTGTCCTATCTGAAACATCCTCACCATTCCAACATTTTCAAGTCCACTGTTATTGTGTCAGTCTATCTCATTGAAGATCTTTCTCCTTTTCTCTGGCCCTCTACTATTCCCAGAATAATTTTTTTCCAAAGGACTGACCTCTCTTGATAATAAGGTCAACACTATGGAAAAAATTCCATGGACTAGGATACTTCTTGGAAATATTTTTGGAAAAGTTAAGCCAAAATGTTCTTGGAGGGAAAGATGGAGAAGCTTTGTCTCACAACTTTGGACATGTTGTTAGGAGAGGAAAGGCACGTCATGCTTGGAAAGGTACAGGGTCAGAGAAAGGGATGAAAACCCTCAGTGAGATGGATTGATTCAGAGACTATGGCAATGGACTCAAGTGTATCAGGGATAAGGATGGCACAGACTAAGACAGGGCTCAGATCTGTTGTTCACAGGGTCACCATGAGTTGGACTTGGCTTGACAGCACTTAACAACAACAACAACAACATGTGAGATGAAGTTTCAATATCCTTGCCTCTAAGGAATGCTCTGGTTGTACTTCCTCTAGGGCAGATTTGCTTGTTCTTTCGGCAGCCCTTGATATATCCAGGACTATTCACCAACACGACACTTCAAAACCTTCTTTGGTCTTTCTTACTTATTGTTCAATATTGAGATGCTTACAAAGTAATTTGAAATATCACGACTAGGAACATGCCAACCTTAGTCTTTAAATTTTTCCGATATAATACCCTTTGTAAGGCTATATTTCTTATTGTAGCCTGGGTAAATCTGACATACGATGTGTGTCTCACAGCAGACCCTCCAGAGGGTTTACAAGGTGAGACTGAGCATTTGTCTCCTCCAGACTCTTTGGTGGATTAAAACTGTCTTTGTTCGGGCCCTTCCTTACGGACTGAATCATCAGAGTTCCTTCGATTTAGATACAGATCAAAGGTTATAGAATGGAGAGCTTTCTGAAAATACATCAAATTTAAATAGTTTCTGTGAGACTAGAAATGCCAATCTTCAAAGATTTGTGCTAAATGATCTTGATAATATCGTGACATTTTTATTTATGAGTGACCAACAGAATTTAGATAGCAGGATGCTATAAAGTTACAAAATACTATATAATTTAATAGTGACAAAAATACTAACTTCCTGGTAGATAGGTACTTTGATGGCAGACTTTCATGACGTGTGTGTTGAAGAATGTGGTGTTTGATTTGAGGTTCCTTGGTGATACAAATATTTGCATCTGACTGCTAACCTAAATGTTAGGGGTTCAAAGCTATCCTGTAATACTGCAGAAATAGGCCTAGTGACCTGCTTCTGTGAGGATTATAGTCAAGACAAACTTTATGAAGAAGTTTTACTAAGGAAGTTGACTTGAAGCAAAGATATCACTTTAAGAGACCAAATTCTACTCAGTAAGAGACCTACATTTGAACCTGGCTTGGTTTAATTTTTTTTTGTGTGTGTGTATGTTCAGGAAATAAGTTTTCCTCTCAGTTCATTACTGGTTTGGGTTGTGTGGTTGGTCTAGGTATGGCATTTCCACTATTTAAGCTTTTATGCCCAAGTATCTTGGAGACTACAACCTTTTGAATTATGAATGACTGAGAAGCTTAGCAAACAGAGACTTAGTCTTTCTGACCCTCCATTCAGTGATTTAAAATTTATAGGTAAAATAACATTTATTTTTTTGAATTAGAGCTTTGGGATAAAAGTATAATAATATCATAATCCATTTAGGGGAATAGTTGTTATGTGCTGTCTAGTAGGAAATAACTCATAGCTGATACTTTTAGTAGGTTTACAGAAGTGGTATATTGCATGAGAGGGGGAGGGAGAGAGAGAACAAGCAGTTTAGATTCTGAGGCAGGGTAAGGTTGGTATTCATCAGAGCTCCATTCTAGGACTTGACATTAAAGGGAGGTGGCAAGTAAGCTCATTCATAGTGACCATCTGGATACACTAGAGTGGAATTAAGAGTCTTTTAGGACTGAAAAAAGAGACTGGGTTTATATGGATAAGCACAAAAATGTTTCTGGCTTTGAGGAGCAGGGAGTCATGAGAAGCCCTGTCTTGTTGACTTCGCCCCATGTTTGAGCTAAGGCTGAGTGAAGAGATCAGTCAGGCTGGAACATAGGAAGAAGTGTGTACTCCTGAGTTTGTAGCTGATACCCGTTTGTACCTCGCAATGGATGGCTTGACATAAGTTGATCAGAACCCAAGGTGTTCCATGCAGTGAGCTAGCAGTTGATTGTTATAAAGTGATGGTTTGCTCTTGACTGGCCTTTGCTTATGGATGTTGTTGTTGTTGCTTATGAATGCAGATGTTAAATGTTCTAAGTGGAACAAAAGATTCTTCAGAGAAAGGAATATGCTTGTTTCCTCAGAGTACTGGTTTGATAGGAGCAGGCAAACCAGAAATTAGCTCTCTAAAATGGGGAAGACTAAAGCACAAGACATGAAGTTGCTAGCTTACACACTTTCACGAATACAGCTATTGTATATTGTAAGGGGAAAGTTAAAGTTCTCATATATGAAAGTTAATGGCTAGAAAATCTAGAAGGTGGTCTGTGGAGTTGATCTTTCACTATGGCTTTCCTCTGAACTTGACTCTGCCATGTGGATGGATGGCACTATCCATGGCTTGGATCAGGTGCACCTTAGTGGTTAAACTGATATCCATGCTCATGAATACTTTAAAAGAGGTCTCAACAGCAGCTTTTTCCAATGCAGCATGTCATTTGATTTCTTGACTGCTGTTACCATGGGTGTTGATTGTGAATCCAAGTAAATTAAAATTGTTCACAACTTCAATGTTTTCTCCATGTCCCATCATATTATGTTGCCTATTGATCTAGTTATTGTTGATTGCCTTCGAGTCAAGCACTACTTATAGCAACCCTATGAACAAAAGGCCTGAAGCCCCTCTACAACTATCGATATTTATCAAAGTTTACAGAGGTTCTGGAGGCATGTTGTTTAGGAAGTGGATGCCACTCCTGCTTCCAATTCATTGCTTTAAGTTGCCTAGTGGTAAAATGCTGCATTGCAATCCAAAGGCACATGACAAGGTTCAAGGCTACCAGCTGCTCCTTGGGAGAAGGACGGGCAATCTCCTCCTGTGCGATTAGTTGACTTTGAAAACCTGTCAGAGGGTCAGCTGTGGGTCGGTTCCGACCCCATGGCACACAACAATAATTGATCCAGTATTGAGGATATTTCCGCCCTTGTTGTTGAGATGTAATTCATATTGAAGGCTGTAGTCTTTGATCTTCTATAGTAAGTACTTCATCATTACTTTTTGTAAGTAAGTTATACATACTTCAAGTTGTTGGTAAGTCTTCCTCCAATCTTGATAAGACATTCTTCTTAATACAGTCCATTTTCTTGAATTAGTAACTTAGCATACAGATTGAGTACTTCTAGAGAAAGGACACAACCCTGACACACACTTTTTAAATTTAGATCATGCATTTTCCCGCTGTTTGAATCAACCAGGTACTCTGTGGGAGAAAGATATGTAATCTCCTCCAGTACAATTTAATGCCTTGAAAACCTGCTAGAGGGTTTGTTATGGGACAGTTCCATTTAGATATAAACAACAACAACAACAACAACAACAACTGTCCTCTCTCAGCTCGTACTCTTGGTTATTGACACTGGGAACCACTTCTAAGAAAGGGAGGGACAAATTGTACCTTACTTCACCTTCCTGGGAAAGGGTTCCTCAAACAAAAAGGACTTAGTGCTCTTGTCAGTGGTGACCCTGGACTGTGACAGACTAGCTGGACCTAGTGGCAGTGTGGGACTTGCTCCCAATTCCTTGCTTTGTTGGGTCTTCTGTGCCAGCCCCCAGGCTACTGAACCACGACTCCTCCTTATCTCTCCTTGTTAGCACTTTGGTGTGTTTCTTATGGAATATGGGCTATATTGTGACCATCCTAACTCTTTACTCTCTGTGTCTCTAAGGAAACAGGAAGTGGAGCCTCCTGGCAAAGATATTTTTTTTTCAAATGGACATCTTTGTATATGATTTTTTTTAAAATTTTTGTGTGAGTGTACCGTCAAATCAGATCTGACTGGTACAGGAGGAGATTGTCCCTCCTTCACCCGGCAGAGCATCTGGTGGATTCGAACCGTGCTCCTCTGGGATTGTAGTTGTAGCTCCTTGCCACTAGGCCACCAGAGCTCCCCTAAACCAAATGTTCCTTCCTATCTCCTCGTCATAGTACAAAAGACTGCTTTTTTTCCTCCAGAGTTCCTAGGGCTTCTTCTAAAGGCATCAATCTTGAACTAGGGCCTGGACCCTCCTCTCAGCCCTTAAGTATTCTAGACTCTTATATTCAAGGCAGACTCTCTCTCTGCATCAATTCTGGTTCAGTTGGGCCAGGCTTAGCTATGACATGAGATCTAAGACCATAGAACTTTTATAAATTTAACATATTTGTAAAATTGATTGTAAATGCAACAATGCTAACTGGACATTGGGGAAGTACACACAGGGAGTGCCTCCCTAAACATTGCATTATATCTTCTGAACAGTGGGCAGGTCACAACGTTGTGTCGCCAGGAAAAGGAAGCTCAGTTGTGTGTTTGGTTTTTTGTTTTTTTTTTACTCAGAGTGACACTTTTGCTCTTCTTGTGTCCCTTTCAACTTCTCACCTCCACATAAACGAAAGAAAATGATGCTCTAGACTTGGCCTGGATTGTAATCATTAGAGCAAATGAGAAGCTTGGGAGACATAAGGGCAAATCCAGGAAGGCAGTGGGGTCAGGAAAATGGATTCTAATTGCTAGGCTGGTCTGGCGCGCTTGAGCACGTGCAGGAAGGGGAAAAGGGTTATAGCCGCTCCTCGAAGACATTTCCAGGAAGACTACGGCACAGGAGGTCTTTCAGTCAGTCCCCTCCTTCTCCTTGGTTTCTGACGTCTGGGCTTTGTCTCTATTTTTGAAATGGCTTTTGCTAAGATGCACTCTCCATTTTGGCAAATTCATGAGCAAGTTTGAGTACTCAAAGTGATATTTTAATGCTTGTGGACTTGTAATTTTTTTTTTCCGTTTCAGCTTTAATTTGCATATAGGCAATTGATGGTCCATCCACATTTAACCCCTTGGCTTATTTTGATTGCTGATATTGAGCTTCTACACCGTCTCTTACCACAGATGTCGTCAATTCGCTTCCTGTGCCTTCCATGGGATGAAGTCCATGTGTATAGATGTTATCATTGTTTTCTTAAAAAAGGTATTTTCAATGAATAATACATAGATTGTGCACAATTCTATCATGCACGTCTCTGACCTAAGACCATATTTTCCAGATACTAGTCCTTTTTCATATAGTCCTAATTGAATAGAAGTGTAATGAAAAATATGGTAGAATCTTAGGGATATCTCATGGGTTTGTTACATCTAAGGAAAACTAATCACCCAGTTTAGAATGAATTACTTATCACATGGTGGGATATGAATATTTTTTTTTTCTTTTTGGTCTTTCGGTGGGTAAAAATCTAAGTCCTCGGGTACTAGCCTGAAGATTGGCTGTTTGAATCCACTCTGGAGTACCACAGAAGAGATCTACTCCTGAAAAGCCACAATAATTGAATACACTAAGTGTGGAGACATGGGTCACTATGAGTCTGAATTTATCCCATGACAGTTTTGATTATATTTTTAAAATAAGATATACTAGAAGGTCAGTGAAATGGAATGAAATCCTCAATAAAATAGATTATTAATAATGGCAACAATGGCCTAAAATAATACCGATTATTATGAAGATGACTCAGGTCTGGAATGTTTTCTTCTGTTATGTATAAAGTCTCTGTCAGTCAGAGTCAACTCAGTAACAACTAACAACTTAGGTGTGGCTCCAGATTCATTTGAGCTAATGTAGTCCTTATGGAAGTAGATGTGATATTGTTGAGATTTGCAAGACTTCTATCTTGATTCTGCTCTGCACTGCTTTATTTAACCTGAGTTCTTTCTCTGAACACTGCACTTTGACTATCAACATCCCAAATTACATCTCCTTATTCTGTAATTGATCCATACTGTTCTTTTCATATTTTGATGAGTAGATCTTTTAAGAGCTCTTGTGGCCTAGTGGCAAGAAGCTCTGCTGCAATCCTGAAGGTATGTGGTTTGAGGCCAACAGCTGCTCCATGGGAAAAAGATGGGCAATCTCCTCCCTTGAGACTGACTGACTACCTCGGAAAACCTGCCAGTGAGTCAGCTGTGGATTGGTTCTGACTTTACGGTACTCAACAACAACACCGTTTGACTGGCTCCTCAGATATTGGTTCTTTCTGTTGTAGCAGACACTTTTGTTCCTATTTGGTAAGGTGCAAATCTACCCAAGAAAAGCAATACAAAATGCTTGCTGTATAGTCTGTTTTTGACAGAAAATGTTCTTCAACAATATTATCTACCTAAGTTGGCTATATACAAGTTTGCTATCTGGATGTAAGTAGAATTTTATGTCTCTCCTTGACCTTAGGCAGAAAACATAATTCTGTGCAGAGCTCAGACTGCAATGTAAATAATGACCCAAGAGTTGTGCAACTTGTAACATTATTTTTGAAAGAGTCGTGACTTAAGAAGTCTGTCTTATATCAAAACATGTTCAGTTTTGATTGATTCCTATTTCTCCCATTGTTGGGTCTTTCTTGTCTTTAAGTACTGGTGGCTTAGGGGTAAGGAGTTGCACTGACAATCCCAACGTACACAGTTTGAATCAACTAGGAGCTCAAGGGAAGTGTCTTTAGTAGTTGGGAATAGCACTATGCAGTTTCAATAAAATGCTTGACCATCAGACCATTTTAATTAAAAACCCACCTTATTGGGTTAATAACCTATATCTGAAAACTTGCATAGAATTGTTCTATAAAATATATAATGCCATGGCTGCTTTTAATGCATGGTAACAGTTTATTTTGATTAACAATGTCTCTTTGGTGAATAATTAATAAATTTAAAGGAGCTTTAATGGGAAGAGGTTTTAATAATAATTTAATAAAATGTTGATACTTTATTAAAGAGGAACCATTAAGGATTTCAGACAGTAAGGGGGACAAAATACAATAAAACCAACATATCCTTACTTCAGCAGCCTTATCCTGCATCACTCTACGTATTTAAATGAAATGATATTAAGTTATTTAATGAAATGTTATAACAATGAAATTGTTAAATAGGAATAAATTTTGTTTCTATTTTCTCTAATCACATGAATTTTTACCCAAGATCACTGTTTGGCTCCAGAGCTTTTTCATCGCATTTTGTACCTCTGTGTTTCTGAGAGTGTATATTAAAGGATTTAACATGGGAGTGATCATGGTATAAAACACAGCAACTGCTTTGTCAACTGGGAATGTGATCATAGGTCTAAGGTACACGAAAATGCAGGGTACAAAGAATAAGACCACTACTGTAATATGGGACGCGCAGGTGGAGAGAGCCTTCCTCTGTCCTTTGGAGCTGTGAGTTCTTAGGGAGCAAAGGATGAGGATATAGGAGGCTATCAGAATAGAGAAAATAAGCATACACATCAGCCCACTGTTGGCAGCAACAAAGAGTCCAAAAGTATGTGTGTCCGTGCACGTGAGTTTCAGCAGAGGGAAAAGATCACAGATGAAATGGTCAATGACGTTAGGACCACAGAACGGGAGCCAGATCATAAAAAGAATTTGGATCAAGGCATGAACAAACCCTCCAGCCCAGGCCACAGCCACAAGGAGGCCACACACCCGTCGGTTCATTGTGACCATGTAGTGCAGAGGTTTGCAGATGGCCACGTAGCGGTCATAGGCCATCACTGTGAGGAGCAGAATCTCAACCCCTCCAAAGAAATGCTCTGCAAAGAGCTGAGTCATGCACCCAGTGAAGGAGATGGTTTTCCTTTCAGCCAGTAAGTCCATAATCATTTTGGGAGCCATGGTAGAAGAGCAACAGCCATCTATGAAGGACAGGAAAGACAGAAAGTAATACATGGGGGATCCCAGGGCCGGGCTGGTGGCGATGGTCACGACAATGAGGAGGTTGCCTATCAGGGTGAGAAGGTAGATGGCTGTGAACACAGCAAATAAGAATTTCTGCACATCTCGGTTCTGTGTTAGGCCGAGCAGGATGAATTCTGTCACATTGTTCATTTGCCCCATGAATCCAGCATTGCATTGAGCTAAGTGAGTTACCTGCAAATAGTATAGGGATTGTAAATTGGGCAGATAAATTTTGATTGTGTACATAATTTGCCAGAATAACTCATTTTCTGTAAGACTGATGACAAATCTGACCATATAAACTAAGTTGTGCTATGTGTTTGTCACAGAAAGAACATACCACTCTCTCCACATATATGTAGCTTATGCACACAAACTCACAGATAGAAACACATGCAAAAGATACACTTACTCATGTACATGATCAAGTACCCTCTCTCTCTCTTTCTCACACACACACACACACTTCATACAGTCACATATAAAAACACACATACACACATAAGACTCTCCCAAAGTACTTGTATAAATAAATGCATACACAAATTGTCATTTTGAGGTATCTCAGTCACAAAGGGACAAATGCTATATGGTGCCACTGTTGGAGAATGAGGCTGACATTGGGGTGGGAGTAAGACTGAGATAAACTGGATGAAATATGTTTACGGCATTGAAGTCTATGGGGGAGAGAATAGTTTAAAAGTATTATATTTTAGGGCATTATGTTTATTGTAAGAGTACGCAATGAGGGTTGCAGAGTGGATTATATTTGGG